AGACCAAACACATCGCCGATATAATAGGCGAATGGGGTGTTTGGCAAAGGAATCTATGTATTTATGTGTTTATATTAACCGCAATTCTTGCCTACAATGACCTGGGATTTAGCTTTTTTGCATATCAGCCAGAATTCTGGTGCAGTGATGTTCCCATTGATTATCAGGTATGTCATATTTTATCGTATTAGAAAATAATTTATAATTTGTATAAAATTTGTTATTCATGTAACTAATATAACCAGATTTTATTACATTAATGCTTTAATTTAAACAAAAACAATGTATTTGTTGTTTCTATTTAATAGAATAAAACAGAAGATATGAAATGCAAGAAATTTGTCAATTCTAGTGAATTGTGTACTGAATGGCAATACAACAGAAATGATTTCCACAAATCAATTATCACTGAAGTATACATTAACTAACTTATTATAAAATGAATGTCAATTGAATACAAGTTATATAATTGCAGTTCGATTTGGTGTGCGATCGGTCTAACTATGCATCGCTCACACAATCGTTTTATATGTTGGGATACTTAGTGTCGGGTCTCATACTGTCCTTTCTTCCCGACAAATACGGCCGAAGACCTCTTTGTTGGATATACTTTCTCATTGAAGTCATATCGCTTATAGCCTGCGCGCTGTCCGTCAATATATATCAATATATTATTTTCCGTTTGTTTGTGGCAATTGGCGGCTGCGGTCGCACCGGCACTATGTGTGTGACGCGTATGTATTATAATTGTTGTTATAATTGTTATATATATTATTATAATTGTTTATTAAGAATAACTTAAAAATGACTTATTTTCATTTATAAGTTTTATTGAATTTATAATATCTATGCCAACAGTTTTGGATAATTGGCGCACATTTATGCCTATTTTAGTCAATTAAAGCAATTTTTGATTTTATAATTTCATTTTAAGGAATATAAAAATGAGAATAAGGTTTGGGTGGCATTTATATTATATAATTTGGTTTTAGATGCCATTTATTGATGCAATTTTGAATTATTGAATTTATTCATAATACAAACCAAAAGCTATTAATATTCCTATTTAAAAAAAAAGATTTATATTTGTATAGAGTGTTTAACTGGATTTAGAAAATAATTATCAAAATTAATAAAAATTAAATATTTAAAATTAATGTTTTATTTTTAAATCAAAAACTAATTTAGTGATGGAAAACATGGGACCAAAACACCGGTCAGATATATATCTAGTCGGAGGGATGGGATGGCTGGTAGGGTATTGCCTAATACCAGTGATGGCCTACTTTATCCAAGACTTCCGTTACATGCATTGGGCGGTTGTGTGTCCATTGGTTTGTATGATCTGTTGGCTGTTTTTCCTCAATGAGTCTCCGCGTTGGCTCATCACTAGTGGACACACAGACAAAGCCGAACGGGTTTTGCGTCAAATCGTTGAGCAAAACGGTCTCAACGACGAGAACTTCGACGAAAAGTTTGCCGAACTTAAGGCACACTTGCATTTAGTATGTGTTTTGCATTTCATATTTTGTAAACATTTTTTGAATAATTATTTGCATATTCTTAGAGTCAACAAAACGAGAAGACTTATACCTTCTTCGATCTCTTGCGGACACCAAATCTGCGCAAATATTCAATAGTATTCTGCTTTTCGTGGCTCGTCATTGGTTTAGTCTATTATGGCTTTAGTCTAAATATGGCCGACTTTGGCGGCAATTTCTACATCTCTTTTCTTATGGGAGGTTTGCATTAAAAATATAAAATATTTGCACACAAAACACACTGACAGTTCATATTAACCCTTAGGTGTGGTAGAGTTGCCGTCGTCTATAATAGCGATCCTAACGCTCCGATATTTCGGCCGCAAAAAGTCATTCTTTGGTTTCCTGACCATTATATCGATGGCCTCATTAGCGGTGATCGCAGCCAACGATACTTTACTTAAGGTGTCGTTCGCACTGATAGGCAAGTTTGCTGTCGGAACCGTCTGGTGGGTCGTCGAGGTCTATGTGCCTGAACTCTACCCCACATTAATGCGAAACTGTGCGTCCGGTTCGTCGCAAGCTATGGCCAGATTGGGGTCGACTGCCTCTCCTTTTATGGGAGATTTGGTTTGTGTTTTATATAGTCGTAACGATTCAATCATTTCGCTAACTCTCATATGATTTGATTTCCTTATGTTAGGCCTCAAAGTATAGTCTAACTTATGTAATGGTTTTCTATGCAATCATATCGATGTGCAGCGCCTTTATGTCACTCCTATTGCCGGAAACAAAGAACAAGGAATTGCCCG